TATAAAAGAGAATCATGATCATTTCTCTCTTCTCTTTCAAAGTAACCTTACTGTCTCCTGTCACCTCTTCCCTGACCAACCCTTATCCCCAGGCTGGATCAGGTGTCACTCATTATACCCTTCGCTTTACCTTTGGCATCATACTCGCCACACTGGACTAAATTGTTTTTTCAGCTGGACTGTGAGCTCTGAGAAGGTAAGGCCACTGTCTGTCTTATGCAGCACTGTGTTCCCAGCATAGGTCTGGCAGGCTCAGCATAAATCCATGAATGAATGAATGTCTCCCTCACTTGACTGTGAGCTCCTTGAGAGCAGGACTGGCTACACAGTTCCTGAGTTTTTTTTGTTTTTTTTTTTTTTTAATTAAATGGAATTGAAATACATGGCAGGGATACCTAACCAAGCCTGGGAAACCAGAGTGACTTCCTAGAGGAGCTAATGCCTGTAAGAGATCAAAAGGATGAGAAGTTATCTATTAGAAGAAGGAATGTGGAAGTGGGAATGCACTTCAGGCTGAGGGGGAGAGCCTGGCGTGTTCCCGACACTGCTAGTCATTTGTTTGGAACTTCGGGTGCATGAGGGACAGTGGCTGCAGAGAGGGGAGGTCATCCACCCATCGTTGGTTGATTCTGTAACTATTCATTGATACTTAAGAGTGTGCCTGGTCCTGTGCTGACCTGTGCTTTTGAGGAGTTTGTGAATTAGCTAGAAGGCACTTTTAGTGTAGTAGAGAACTTCTGAGGGTTTTAGGAAGAGATGTTTGGGTGACATGATCAGATAATTATTCTAGAACAGTGCTTCTCAAATTATCTGTGATGAAGGACCTTAAAAAAATATTTCCAATCCATCAGAGAGTGATAGTAAGGTTATAAGAAAAGACCAAATACAAGTCTGTGTTTGTTTTAAAGATTTTATTTACTTAGAGAGAGGGAGCACAAGTGGGGGGCGTGTAGGGGGAGAGGGAGAAGCAGACTCCCCACTGAGCACAGACCCCCCCCCCCGACACAGGGTTCAATCCCAGGACCCCGAGATCACAACCTGAACCACCCAGGCGCCGCCCCCCCCCCGTTTCTTCATATTCGACTCAGTAGCATGTGATTTCGTACTGAAATTATCGTACTCTCTCCTACTTTTCCAATTGCCTACTCTCACTTTCCACACTTACGTAGACCACTGGTACCAGTTTGCAAACAGCACTGGTCTGCAGGCTGTCCTTTAGGTAGCACTGGTCAGATCACATCTTGGCTGCGGATGGAGAATTGCTTGGAGGAGGATCAAATGGATGCAGAGAGGCAGGTGGGGAGGCTGTTTCTCTGACGCAGGCAGTGGTGGTGGTGGTCTGGATTGCGATGTGGCAGGTGGAGATAAGAGATCCTGGGGGTAAAAGCCACAGCTTTGTGGAAGGGGAGGGGTCAGAGGTAAAGGTAGAAGTTAAAGATGCTTTCCAGTCTTCTGGCTTGGGCACCTGTGTTGGCCAATGGTGACACTGAGAACCAAACTGGAAGATCTAGAAGTTTGAGGGAGGGTGACGAGCTCAGTACTGAACACTCGCATATATTTCTGTTGAGGTATAATCAACATATAGTATTCTGTTAGTTTCAGGTGTACAACATGATTCATATTTGTTGTATATTGCAAATGATCACCACTATTTGTCACCTGAACATATTAAGTTGGAGGTATATGTATATGTGGGACCTCCAGTAGGAGAGGTCTAAGAGGCAGCTGGAAATAGGGTCTTGAGAGCAGGTTTAGAGTCAATGTGGTTGGCCTTTGATAGAGAAAAGGGACTTCCCCAGTCCAGCCTAACGCTGACTCCTTCCTGGGGTCTCTGACTGACAGGCCCAGCTGGTGGTGGTGCGTTTTGTCCATGAGGAAGGTCTGGGGTTTGGGGCGTGGCAGAGGGGAGGCAGGGACGTGTGTAGGGGTGCACGTACTGGGAGTAGGATTCAGTCCCCTTTACTCTGTAGAGAGAAGGGACCTTGGCCCGCTCTGGGGAGCTGCAAGTCTCATTGTCACCACTGGGTGGCAGGAGTGCTTCAGACAAGGGTTCCATGGACTCGGGCCTCTCTCCAGTATTTAGCCATCTGCTCTACTCCAGAGTTAACCTCTGGACTCCACGGAAGCACTTACATGTGAGCCCCTCATCTTAACCCTGGGGACAGGGGCATGCATCTTGTTACTGCGGCTCTGGAGCTGAAGGCATGGTCAGGTCGCTCCTGGACCGGATCCAGAGGCAGGCTGCGGTCCCAGAGCCTGCTGGGGTCCTCTGGGCACGCAGTGTGTTTCCTCACGTGGAAGCATCATTTCCGGGCCGCCCTGTGCGGGGCCCCAGGCGGAGGGTTTGCTTTGGTCCAGCCTCGGGATGGGCGGTCCACGGTGGGGGGGGGGGGCTGTGATCACGGGGGCCGGAGCCCGCCGGCCATGCCTTGATGCGCCGCGCCCGCGCTCTGCCCCCCGCGCCAGCAGACTGTGCAGGTCCCCGTGTACTCAGAGCAGGAGTACCAGCTGTACCTGCACGACGACGCCTGGACCAAGGCAGAGACGGACCATCTCTTTGACCTCAGCCGCCGCTTTGACTTACGGTTTGTAGTTATCCATGACCGCTACGACCACCAGCAGTTCAAGGTGAGCCGGTGTCCTGCATTGGCACGCATGCCCCCTGCCTTCACGCGACCCCTGCCCCGTGCCTCTGGGCACTCACCCTCCGCTCCCGCCATGTCTTTATCCTCAGAAGCGTTCCGTGGAAGACTTGAAGGAGCGGTATTACCACATCTGTGCCAAGCTTGCCAACGTGCGCGCTGTGCCAGGCACGGACCTCAAGATACCGGTGTTTGATGCTGGGCATGAGCGACGGCGGAAGGAGCAGCTGGAGCGTCTCTACAACCGGACCCCAGAGCAGGTCAGCGCTGCAGCCCTTGGCTTCCATCCGGCCTGCTCTCAGTTCCCCCGCAGCCGGGTTCCCCTGCCTCCCCACCTCGTCCTTCCTCATGAGTCACTCTCCCTGCTCCACACCCCTTCCCCTCCCTCGTGGTCCCTCGGGGCAGCCCCGCACCCCCCTCCCCCGCTCTGCACTGCCCCCTGCCGTGCACGCACGGCTTGGCATCCTCTCGCTCTCCCAGGTCGCGGAGGAGGAGTATCTGCTGCAGGAGCTGCGCAAGATCGAGGCCCGGAAGAAGGAGAGGGAGAAGCGCAGCCAGGACCTGCAGAAGCTGATAACAGCGGCGGACACCACCGCAGAGCAGCGGCGCACGGAGCGCAAAGCCCCCAAGAAGAAGCTACCCCAGAAAAAGGAGGCGGAGAAGCCGGTGCGGAGACCGAGTCAGCCCAGCCCAGGGTGCAGGGCTCCGAGAGCACCCAGAGCTGGCGGGGTGCTGGGACTGACCCTGGGCCCTCCCGCTGCCTCTCCCCCAGGCTGTTCCTGAGACTGCAGGCATCAAGTTCCCGGACTTCAAGTCTGCCGGCGTCACCCTGCGGAGCCAGCGGGTACGTGTCGCCTCCATTGCTGTGCTGGGGCCCCAGGCTCCCTGCAGCCTGCGTGCGGCAGCTGGGGCACCGGAGCACTGGGAGGGGGTGCCACGTGCTGCAGAGAGGGAGGTCTCGGGGATGTGGCTGGGCTGGGGTCCAAGCTCTTGGTCTGTTCCACTTGCTGGTTATTTCTTTTTCGGACGTAGAGCTATCTCCAGGGGGTTCACTTCTCTCCCACTCCCCCTTGCCTTTGGTCCCCCTCACCCTTAACCACTTGTCGGGGAGAGGGCTTAGCAGCCTGGGTCATTGCAGATGAAGCTGCCAAGCTCTGTGGGACAGAAGAAGATCAAGGCCCTGGAGCAGATGCTGCTGGAGCTTGGTGTGGGTGAGTGGGGACTGGGCCCGCAGGAGCTACCCACCCGCGGCTGCCCATCAAGGCTGGGCTCGGGGGGGGGGGGCATTTCCTATCGCTGGCCTTCCCGCACACCCTGGTTCCGCCCGTGCCCTCCACCCACCGCCTGCAGAGCTGAGCCCGACGCCCACGGAGGAGCTGGTGCACATGTTCAACGAGCTGCGGAGTGACCTGGTGCTGCTCTACGAGCTCAAGCAGGCCTGTGCCAACTGCGAGTATGAGCTCCAGATGCTGCGGCACCGGCACGAGGCCCTGGCCAGGGCCGGCGTGCTCGGGGGCCCCGCCACGCCAGCATCCGGCCCGGCCCCAGCCTCTGCTGAGCCAGCAGTACCTGAACCTGGTCTTGGTCCCGACCCCACCAAGGACACCATCATTGATGTGGTGGGCGCGCCCCTCACGCCCAATTCGGTAAGAGCCTGGAACCGGCCCCGCTCCCTCTCGTGCCGGCAGTGGGAGTGGTTACTCTGCTGGGTTCTGGGACTGAGGGTAGGACTGGGTGGCCAGTGGGCATCACCTGCCCTGAGTGTGAAACACATGCACCAAGCCCGAGTAGAGCTTTGGGGGCCACTGACTCCAGCGCCTTCTGTGTCTTCTCAGAGGAAGCGACGGGAGTCAGCCTCCAGTTCCTCTTCTGTGAAGAAAGCCAAGAAGCCATGAGAGGCCACACGGGGTGTGGGTGCTGCTGTGTAAATAGAGCTGCTGAGTTGGACTGGGCTGCTTCCTTTTCCTTCCCACCACTTGTGAAGCCCCTGGCTGGTTGCGGGGGGTCACGTTGGAGCAGTCACCACCCCCACTCCACAGGGGTGGCGTTGGGACCTGCCTGCGGGGAGGCCCTTAGCAGCCCTCTCACCACTGCCAGTTTTGCCCAAACATCTGTACTTGGTTCTGCACTCAAGGTGGTTCACACATTGCATTGGCCTCAGATACCAGCCACTGGAACACTGCCTCATGCTTACGGTCCCCGCGGCCCTGTGCTTATTCAGGGAGGGTCTCCCAGGTGCTCCACTGACAGCCAGCCACACCGGTGGCCTTCAGCCCAGAGCAGCCCGGAACGCGCTCTAACCTTGTACACCTTGGACAGCATCAGGCACAGCAGCGCCTGGTCCACACACACCCAGAGTCTCGTTTCCCCGACTTTATTCAGTGGCACGTTCACAGCGGGGATGGGGGTAGACACAAGGTGGGGCCTGATCTGTCCTGGAGCCCTGGGGGCACCACACACCATGCACTACAGATGGGAGGGGGCACAGGGGGGCTTGGTGGCCCCAGCAGAAGCCTGTGTACCAGGGAAGAGGCGGTGAGTGCCTGGGTCCCCCTAGCCCAGGCCCACAATGGGAAGGGCTAATACTGGGCTGAGGTTGAGGGGTTGGGGTGGGGGGCACAAAGTGTCTGCTCCAGAGGGGCCAAGTGGCCAAGGCCTTACCCAGGGCACAAGCCCACAGGGCAGGCTGGGGGACACTCTGGATGTAGAGCTGTGCCACTCTCCCTTTTCCCCTCTGGTGAGGGAAAGGAGGGTTCTGGGCTGGGCCAAGCAGCTACCCTGTCCTGCCCCATCCCGTCCTCGGCCAATCAGAATGGCTTTGATGTCTGCTTGAAAATGAAGCCTTGATATGCAAGTGTCTTCATGATGTTGGCAATGTTCTTGCAGTCATCTGAGAAGAGAAAGAGAAGACATTTAGATGGGTCCCAGATCCTTCCCCTCTGTGCCCACAGTTGCTCTTACATGGGTGAGGGAAGGGAGCAGGGTCAGATTCAGGAGCCACAGGCTCTAAACCAGGGGGTCCGGTGCCCTGGTGGCAGCATCTCCAGCCTCAGGTTGGGCTGGATGAGGCCGGGCCGGCAGGAAACATGGTCTCAATGCTGCTCAGTCCCATAATTCATGCTGGAAATTGGCCGGCATGTCCCACCCCGGCCCCAGCGGTGATGTATGGGCGCCGTCGCAGTAAGAAAAAGGCAGAGTAAATGTGTAATTTCTCCCTTGACGGCCCCCGGCCGCTGGGCGATCCTTCTTGTTGCCGCCGCGTGGGGACGGCCCGTCCGCCACACTCCGTCTTCCCGCCACCCGCCTTGATGTCTCCATTTCATTACTGTGTGGCCATTCATCACGCCCACGGCCAGGGTGACTTTGCCGGCACTTGAGAGAGAGTGTGTGTGTGTGGGGGGGGGGGGTATGGCCCAGGCCATAATCGCTGGTGACAAGGCACAAGCCTTGGCACTTGGGGCCGGGGGCCTGGTCAGCCTGCTCTGGGAACCTGCTCCCCCCTGTCGCCCCAGAGCGGCGGAGAGGGTCTAGGTTTGTGGACCTTTGACACCTGGGCCAGCAATCTTCTACTAGACATGCCTGTGTGCTCAGTCTAAGCCCTGCCTCTCCCCAAAACTGGTGCCAGTCAGGCTTCAGTCCTGCCTCTGGCTGTACCTAAGTAGGTCTGCTCCTGCCAGACCGTGTCAGCAGTTTCTCCAGTACTGGTCCCTGTGAGAAACTCCTGGAACCCTGGCGGCTGCAGGAGCAGGTACTCCGCGCCTTCACTATCATGGACATAGGCCAGGGCTAATTCTAACGCCACCAGCAGGAGGTGCAGCTGCCCAACACTCGTCCCTCTACAGAAAGCCAAGGACAGAAATGGCCCAAGTACCCAGAGTTTTTTTGTTCCACTGCCCAGAACACCAGACAGCTCCCCATCCCTTCACCTGCCCCTCCTCCCACCCCTCTCCCACCTTCCATAGATGGTCCTGGGCCATAACCAGGACCTCAGCCGCTACCAGCCCTCATGGGATCGATGCTGTGATTGCAGAAGCATTATACTTCGATGTCCTAATCAGGTGTGGGGCGGTGGCAACGTCAAGGTGGGGTCAGGAGGCCTCTGCATCTGTCAAGGGCCAACCCCTTCCATTGAGCCCTCCAGCCTGCCCTTGCTAGAACCTCAGACTAGGAAACGGGGCACAACAGAGATAGAAAAGGGCTGTGGAAGCGGGAGTCTTGGCCAGCCCAGGTCCTGTGTCATTAGCCGGATGCAACTCTGTGAGGGCAGACAGGTCACACGGGGTCCTGTTTTGCAGACCTCAACATGAACATACCCATGGGGAATGTGGGCATGGAAAAGTGATACCCAGACACAGGGACACCCTTTTCCTCCAGGGACTCAGGAAGCCACGAGGGCTGGTCTGAGGCAGGACAGTGGGAAGACAGATGGGTGGGTAGTCGCGGCCATGGCAACTCCAGACGTGACCCGTCCCCGTGGTTTATGGGCCGGACACGCGCCCCGCTCAGCTGAGGCCCCATCATTTGTCTCCCTTAGTGTGTACGCCTGTGCTGTGGGGGTAGAGGGTGGAGGGAGGGGGATGAGACAGGAGTGAGGCAGCTGACAGGAAGGGGAAGGGGGGCAGCTGGAGATGGGGCAGGAGGGTTTATGATAGGGCCCAGAGGCTGTGATGGGACCATCAAAAAGCCTACGATAGGGTGATTTTCTTCCCAAAGAAGTCTGGCCTTGTCAGGGCACCTCCAGTCCTTCCTGTCTCCTGCACTCTGGGGACCACGGCCGCCGTGCATATTAAGAGTAAGTCCCCTCGTTATCTGCAATTACCCAGCGGCCACACACCTCATTTCTTCCAGCAGAAAAGAAAATTAGTTTTCTATTGACTTCATCTGGCTCCTCCCTCATTGCTGGACAAATCGCTCAATCTGCCTCCCCTGGCCCAAGTGAATGTGCCCAGCCCCTCCCCCCCAGGTCACCAGCCATCCCGTGGGCCAGCACTGACCTCCCACCTGTGCCCAGCCCCAGTCTGTCCTTGACCTCTCTGCACTTGACGCACTGGCTGGCTTCATCCACACCCTGAGCTTCAGCGAGCCCTGAAGATCGCCATCTCCTGCCTGCACCTCTCCTGAGCTCTGGAACATCTCCTTCTGGATCCATACAAACTCAAAACATCCAGTAATGCACCAATTTCCTTCCCCACATGTCTTCACTACCCAGTGTTCTCCATCCCAGTGAACAGCACCCCAAGTGCTCCCAAAGAAGCCTGAGAATCGGGCTTGACACTTTGCCCTCTCCTTCCCCAAATCTCAAGTATCAACTGGATTTTATCTTATTCTGTTTAATCATCTCCTTCCCTTCATTCTGCCCCCCACTCCAGCGCAGACCCATCATCTCTTGCTCTTACACAGCCTATCCTCTTTCTTCTCCCTCTAATGCATTCTCTTGTAGCCCAAGTGATCACATCCTTGTCTCCCTAAGTCCTTTCAATGGCTCCCGCTGCCCTCAGGTTCAAGGCTATACTCTTTAATATGACTTAAAGGTAAAGGCCCTGTAAAAACGGGTCCCTGCTCTCTCTGGTCTCACCTCTGCCACTCTCTACCCCCAATCTCTGTGTTCCAATCTCCAGGAACCTCTGTTTTCTGAAAATGACAACGATAGACGCGTTTCTAGTCTTAACTTTGCCCACTGGCTGTGTGCTTGTGGCAAGTGCTCACGTTTTGTTTGAACTTCAGGTTCCTCCACTAGGGGTGATGAGGGACGCTACATGTGTTAACTGTGAGCACTGAGCAGGTGATACCCTTCCACACCCCGTCTTTGTCGGTGCTTTAGGTTTGGAACACTTCCTCTTCTTGGAGGGAAGGCAAGGACGCTAGTTTCCCGGGTGACCCAACGGTGAGAGGGTATATCCTGCACAATCTCTGGCACAGATGACAGAGAGGCCCGCACACGCGATGAGACCAGCCGGCATTCATTGCACAAGCTCACACTGACTACTGATCCTGTTTACTGAGGATTCTGGAGCCTACCTTGTTGTAACTGGTCCACTACAACAAAGAAAGAGAGACCCAGAATTGGGAAGACACTTGTTTCAGTTCACCAAGTCCGTGGTAAGGCAGTTATGGGCTTCCAGCCCAGGCTTTTTCTAGCCCTTGAAACTTCATGAGCCAGTGCAACCTACTGATCAGTTTAAAAAGTCAATGGCACAGTTAGAAAATGAGGAAATGGGGCAGAGGTGAAGAGGCAAATCTGGGCCTTTTAACAGGCCAGGAGTTCAGAGAGAGCCAGCAGCAGGGTGAAGCTGGTGACAACATGGCCTCTGGGAGAGTCCTCTGCTTGAAGCCCTGGGGCCACATGGGTCAACAGCCTCCCCTTCTGGCACCTCTCACTGAGCTAATGAGGCCAGCCTGAACCCATTATGGTGTAGAGGGTAAAGGGGTGGGAGGCACCCAGCCTTGTGACCACAATGGAGGCCTCTGAGGTAGGTCTTCCTTACCTCCAAATTCTAGAAGACTAACCTGATTTTATGTTCCTGCAGGGTTATCAGCTTGTGACAAGATGACTCTCTTCTGTTTGGAGCATTAATGTTCTTAATACTGGAAATATTTTTATATTGCTAAGACCATAACGGGAAGATGTGCAGCTGCTTAAATCCCTCCGAGAGGTGAGTGGGGCTAGCACCTGACTTGGATAAGCTTGTTGACTGGGCCCAAGGGTAGTCAAATATCTGCTTGGCAAAGCTGCTAGTGGAAGGGTGGCTCAGACCACTTAGGACACCCAGTGAGGGCTGACACAGGACCATGACCTGAGGCCACTCCAGGTAGCTGCACTTGTCTGGGAACTGAACAGTAGAGGGCAGGAAGCAGGGCCTGGGCGAGGACCACCCTCAGCAGGGAGAGGGCCCAAAGAAACTCTTGGAGGACCATTTATTTGTGCACGCATTCATTCAGCAAACACACACTGACACTTCTGTGCGCTGGGTGCACACGGGCCATGCCGGGTCACAGGCCTCGCTGCAGACTGTTGCTCCCTGCCCTCAAGGAGCTCAGAGGCAGGCCCGTAAGTGGTGTGGTGCGAGCAGTGCTATGGGGAAAGGTGGCACAGAAAAGGCACCGAGAATCGGGAAAGGGTTCCCCGGAGGACAAAGCCAGGCAGAAGTCTGAGGGCACAGGGTGGAGGGGGGTGGGGGGGGGGGGGGGTGGGGGGGAGCTGGCCAGCAAGCTGGGCTTGAAGTGGGGAGGTGATCCCAGCATAGTGAATAGTACTGGCACCTTGCTGGAGGGGAAACGTAGTGTGTCCAAAAACACGTTAAGTCTAGCAGGTGGTGGGGGTGATGAAGAGTAAGAGGCAGGGGAGTGGCGAGAGGCGAAGCTGGCCAGGTCAGCAGTGACTGGCCAGAGGAAACCCTGGAGACTGGATGCTAAGCTAAGGAGCTTCAGAGCTTCTTATTCTGGGAATGACAGGGAGATGCTAACATATTTGAGGAGGAACAAGACAAGAGCCTATCTGTGTTTCAAGGATTGGAGGGGTTAACCCTGAAGGCACAGACGCTGACTAGCAGACTGTACTACGGTCCAGGCCAGAAACGGTGGCCCAGAACCAGGCCAGTGGCGGCAGAGACGGAGATGGGGATGTATTGACGGTCTGGAGACGTGGACAGAGGCAAGAGATTTTAAGGAAACAGAATGCGCAAGCCTTAATGGGGGGAGATCAGGGTGTGGGTCTGTAGGGGGCTGAGTCTAGGATCTTAAGTCAACTCATGGAGGTAAGACAAACCTGAGGTGGTGTAGGTTTGGGCCAGGGATGACCTTAGTGTTAATCTTGAGATTCCTATGGGACATTTAAATGTATCAGGCATTTCCTTTACAGCTTCTAGGCTTTGTATCTCACTGAAAAAGACC